AAAATTTTCCAGGAAATAACCCGGATACCGCCTTTGCTCCCCCCCCCCCACTAAAAAGTTCACTGCCCTTTGAATGTACCTTAGAGGAATTCTGTTTTAATAGAGTTAGGTGTACATGTATTGAGTGTATTTAGTTGAGGGTATATTTATACTGTATGATAAATATTTGAACTTAAGTGACCTGACTACTTACATAGTTATGTTTAAAGAGGCTTGCCTACTATAGACTACGTTAAAGGATTGACACCACTTGTGTTATATTGAATTATAGAATCAGGGGCCTGTTTCACGAAATTTTAACTAAGATAAAATCCAGTCATGACTAATTTAAGCCTAATATAAACAGGTTGAGGTCCCTCTCTTTAAAGAAAAATGAAATGAAATGGGGTTTAACGTCCTACTGTTCTGCTCCTAACCTGGGCTAATGAAGACGGGCATACGCCATACAGTGTGCTATGAGGGAAATTTTGCCCGGGCAGCGGCACTATCGCCTACTCTTATATCAAATTCCAACTTCCAAGGGATCTTTTACGTGCACTCCAATGTATACACGGGACCTCGGTTTTTCATCTCATCCGAAGGACTAGACAGCTGCAATTGTCAGGCCCTCTGTCCTGCATTACTGACAAGGGGAAACCACGCCGGAAAATCTGGACAAACTTTCTCGGCCAATGCAGGGATCAAACACCCGACCTCCGTGCTAGCGAGCCAGTGTCTTACCCACTTAGCCACCGTGATCCCCTCTCTTTAAAGTATATACCGGTATGTATAATGTTATAAGAATAAACAGTAGTCAACTGCCGATAGAAGATAAGAAGGGATTAAATGGATTAGACGATATAAGACAGATTAAACATATTACTTTATATATAAAGTTAATAAAAGATTCTACTCTCAGGTAAAAGTGTATAGAAACATGAGGTTTTTAGAAAGAAAAAACTAATTTCATCTCAGCTAGTGCTTTCACCCACTGCGGGGATCATCCTGAAGGCATATATATATACACACGGCTGTAGGTACAGACCACTTTTTTCTATAATTCCTCGACTTTATTAACTTGTACTTACATACCTGGATTGGGTCAACTGATTATCTTTTGTGTAAGATATGAATTATTATAAGCTGTTCACCATTGCTGTACCACAAATATCTTAAATCATAATTACTGTGTATCTTTATCACATAACTTGCCAAGTAAAACAGGAAGATACCTGTAAATTACCAGGAATGATACAATTTGTAAATTATGCAATTTAGATAACTTTGAAGATGAACATCACCCTTTCACTGTAATCCGGGTTGTGTATTTGGCCCAAATTTCTTTCATATTTGTTTAATATCAAATCTTTGTTTAAAAATCATCCAGAATCAACTAACTTGTACTTGTGTCCAGTTTAAAGCTGACTATTCAATTTTGATAATGTGTGTCCGTGATAGTTGGAATTCGATATAAGAGTATGCTAGGGTGCCGCTGTCTGAGCAAAGTTGAAACAATGGCTCCCATTTGGACCAGCAGCTAGCTGATACTAGGCCAGTATAATCTTGTCTAGTAAAGCTACCTGTATTTGTAATTGATGGATGAAGGCAGGTTTCATTTGTTTGAGGTTTTAGTTGGATTGGGGAATATCTGGTGACAAGTGGCTGTAATCAGCTTTAACAAGGTACTAATCAGCTTACTATTACCACTAATCAGCCACAAATCAGCTTATATCAACTGTTGTTGTAACATACAGGATTTCATTCTTGCTGAATCTGTGGCACCACATGACCATAATATGTCAGTTCCAGTAAATCTGTGGCACTTGACAATATATCAGTCCCAAAATTACCAAAATATTGTCTTAATGAGAGATTAAATCATGGCTTGGGGTTTCTCTTGGTGAATAATGCAATATTACATGCGGTCGAAGTGGTATCAGATATCAGGTGTTCTAGAAATGGTATCATGTGTTCTAGGAATGGTATCAGGTGTTCTAGGAAATGGTATCATGTGTTCTAGGAATGGTGCCATGTGTTCTATGAATGGTATCAGGTGTTCTAGGAAATGATACCGGGTGTTCTAGGAATGGTGCCATGTGTTCTAGGAATGTTATCAGGTGTTCTAGAAATGGTATCAGGTGTTCTAGAAGTGGTTACGGGTGTTCTAGGAATGGTACCCGGTGTAGTAGGAATGGTATAGGTATTCTAGGAATGGTATTGCATCAGGTTTTCTAGGAATGGTACCAGGTTCTAGAAGTGGTATTAGGTGTGCTAGAAGTGGTATCAGATGTTCCGGGAAAGGTATCTGATTGTCTAGTAAGAATATCCTGTCTTTGTAATTATTATTTTATAAATTGTCTGTGATTTATTAAATTGTCTGTTTATTTTTTTTCTTCTTTTGTTGAATGTGAATCAATATCCTGTTTCATCAGTAAGTGGTATCAGGTTTTCTAGATGTGAATCAATATTCTGTGTAATCTGTGAGGAAACTGTATAAATAAATAAAACAATCTCTCCAAGCTGCTTGTAGAATATAACAATATCACAAGGCTACTTGAAATTCATTTATAGATTTACAGATAATATTTCCTCAAAAATGAAAAAGTCAAAAGGCAAAGTATTTGTATGGATCAAAAACCCATGTAGTGACTGGATAGTCTGATTGATATGAAGTCACTGAATAATCAGTAGCTATACACATAGGCGTACGAGCTGGGGGGGGGGGGCTGAGGGGCACCAAATGCTGGGAAAATTTGGGCACACAATTGTATTTTGTAAAAGTTGTATAAAAAAAGGATATTGTGTTCTTGAATGTGTCCAATTTAACAGCGTATTTATTATTATTATGTAACATACTAAGAACCAAACTACATTTTTTGGGCACCAACCCCCCCCCCCCCCACCACCCCAGTCAAAAATTTCCCCGTACGCCTCTGGCTATACACTGAGTTAATCCCCCTTCCACCCAATAGTTTGATGACTTTGATTATCCATGAAATTTTAATCACCTGACATCTACTTGGAATATCAATTTTTTTTTTATTGCTGTGACCTAATCAATCTATACTGGTTATAAAATTACATCATTAAAGATACATTATGTAAGATTTAGATAGAGAGCTAGCCATTCTTACTATAATAGTTCGAAAATAGATAATGTAAAATGAATAATTTGAAAATTTCATTCAAATTACTCTATTGCAAGCGAAGATATTAGCCTTTGAAGTTTTGACAAGACGTGTGCAATAATTTCAACCACCGTACTGGTTGTTCGAAGCTAAGTCTCGCTCCTCCATTTTTAGCTTAAATCAAAATATGGCTGAACTGTTCTAATCTATTTAATATCAGAGAAATCCGATGCCATCGAGAGTTGATTATGGCCTGGATAAGTTAATTAATGTCTAATTAATAATTTAGAAAACATTTCAGGCCTAAAGAAATACCCGCAATAGGCAGATTTAGCTCTTGTATAATGTATGTTTAAACAATATCAGGTTGTAACAGTTTAGATTAAACATTAAACAATGGGTTGATAAGAATTTGCTGAAGTAGAGCGATTTATACACAAGAACATTTACAATTATATTCTCTTTAAACAGGCATTATGCAAGAGCTAAATCTGCCTATTGCAGGTCTTTCTTTAGGCCTGAAATTTATATAAACTATTAAAGATACATTATGGGAGATTCGATAACGAGTTGGCAGTTCTCACTATAATTATTAACAACAAGATAACGTAAAGGCAATTTGCTGAAAATTTCTTTCAAATTGATCCACTCTGAACCGAGAACTAAGCGAATGAAATTTCTGCCTAGCCTCGGTCATCATTACTAAAGTCAGTACGATAAACAGCATAGTCTTGATTATCCATTTAAACGTTTAATCGAGAAGGAAAGTTATGCAGTAAATCGGCTCACAATCCACTTAAAATCGGAGGCTATCGATGTCATCTAGAGTTGATTATGGTCTGGATAAGTTAATGTCAAATTAATAATTTAGATAATATTTCAGGCCGAAAGAAAGACCTGCAATAGACAGATTTAGCTCTTGCATAATGCATGTTTAATTAGACATTCATTAACTCATCCAGACCATAATCAACCCTCGATGGTATCGGACACTCAAGATTTTAACTAGATTAGAACGATTCGCCATTTAAAAATTTAATTTGAAAAGGGGAAAGCAAGGCTAAGTCTCGAGTATACCAGTGCCCTGGTTACCACAATGCACACATCTTGTCAAAACTACAAACAGTGATAACTTAGCTCAGAATAGAGTAATTTGAATGTAATTTTCAATATTTTCATTTTGCATTATCTATTTTTGAGCTATTATAACAAGAATGTTCAGTTCTTACATAATGTATCTTTAATTAACTTGAACTATAAATATTTTGTGTGGCCTATCTTGTTCAGGATATTAACTCTTTCAATATTCAACTCAAGGCTTAATTAGAAACTTATTTTTAGCTGCAAAATGAACTGGAAATTTTTTATAATACTCGCTGCGGATATTAACTGTTTTATTGAACTTTATTCATTTACATGACAATGAATTTTTTTAACATTCATAGACAAATGAAATGAGGTTTAAAGGACAATATTGGTGCCAGTCATTATCACATATGTGATAGAACTGTTTAAACACGTTCCAAATATTATTTTATCACAGAGATCATTGCTACGATAGACGCGTAATCAATGCTTCAACAATTGGAAGTGATGAACACAAAAGGAAAACAAGAGTTATCCCTCTATATAACTGACTAAAGTGACGAGTGATAACAGATACATGGGCGAATTTCTGCTCACTAATAATTCCTTCAAAGATTAAAAGTTGTTATATGAGGCTGTAAGAGTATATCTGACAATTCAAAAAAAGTAATGAACCAATGAGAAATCATGTCTTATAAATTTTACTTTTCAACATGCTATCTTACCATTTCAAATGCTGCCTGTTTCCTGGCAACCGTTATATTTCGATTTCATTTGATTGATATTTAAATTAATTTATATTACCAGGTTGGTGGAGAAAAGCTTAAACATGAGGTGCACTGAGAGGAATTTGATTGGTGCATATCCTGTATAAATGAACCAATGAGAAATCATGTCTTATAATCACAAGTCAAGTATTAACAGAGATGAGGTGTTTCGTCTGATTGAATCAAAGCAAGAAAAGGTGGCCAAAGGTAAGATATGAAGAGGTCATAGGGTAGGATATAATGATGTCACAGGGTAGGATATGATGATGTCACAAGGTAGGATATGATGATGTCACAGGGTAGGATATGATTATGTCACAAGGTAGGATATGATGATGTCACAGGGTAGGATATGATGATGTCACAAGGTAGGATATAATGATATCACAGCAGAGGATATGGTGATGTCACAGCGGAGGATATGATAATGTCATGATTATATAATCACTGATGTTTGTCAGCTTTCTATAACTGCTTGTTAATTGGGTTGTAAGAAAGAACCCTCCCTGCAGATATTGATAATTGTTTATCAGGAGTTAAAATTCTGTTTTGGGGGTGGGGATTGAATGGTCGAATGGTTAGTTTATGCATGCGCGTTGGAACAGAAGGTCGGTCATTGAGTTAAGTGGCATGGTTTCTATTCCCCGCTTGTATGTGACAAGGAGTAGGGTCGCCTGTCAAACCTCGTGGGTTTTCTCTGGGTCATCCTTTTCCTCACACCGCTAAAGACCCCTGCAAGCCAGTGAGTTATTGAGATATATTTGAACCATATGTTAGTCCCGAAATGATCTAGTTTGTTCTCAGGAGGTCTGAGGTTTGTTCCCAGGAGGACTGAGATTTGTTACCCGGAGTTCTGAGGTTTGTTCTCTGTAGTTCTTAGGTTTGTTCCCAGGAGGTCTGAGGTTTGTTCCTGGTGTGGTTTCCCATTGTCTGTTCTACAGTATGTAGGGCCTGGCAAGAACAGTGTCTAGTCATTTGGATGAGAAAAAAATCATGATCCTGTGTACACCTTGGTTCACATAAAAGAACCCTTGATGGTTTAACTTCAAAATCCAGTTGCTGCCGAGGCGAAATTCCCCATACCTCATTGCATAATGTATGGCTGTCTTCATTAACCCGGTTGGAGCCAAAAAGTTTGAACAGACCTATTTCATTCATTCATTCATTCATTGGTCACTTTAAACATAATATAATATCTATATTGTAATAAGTCACGTGTAACGTAATGAACAGTAGTTTGTATAATGATTGTATTATAGTCAAGTCAGTGAAGCATATAATATATTATTGATATGATTATTGGTAATAGACCTATATAAGATTATAGATGGTATATAATAGACCTATATATAGGATTAATGTTCGTTATAGAACAGGATTATAAACAGTTTAATGGTGTAGTTTCATGTTTAGTTATTGGAAACCAGTTATTGGAAGGTAGAAGATGTTGGTTAAATTGTTAAATACATGTGAACATAAATATACTAGAAGTGATATCTAGTTTTCCAATACTCAAGATAAATCAACGGTTGGTATAGATGATAAATATAGAGGTTTATGTGTTGGTATGAAAGGAAATGAAATGAAAAGGAAATGAAATGGGGTTTAAAGTCTTACTGTTCTGCTCTGACTTGGCTAATGAAGACGGGCATACGCTATACAGTGTGCTATGAGGGAAATTTTGCCTGGGCAGCGGCATTATGGCCTACTCATGTATCGAATTCCAACTGCCAAGGGATGTTTTAGGGTGCACGCCAATGTATGCATGGGACCTTGTTTTTTGTCCCATCCGAACGACTAGACTGCTGTCCTTGTCATTGGTATGAAAGGTGTTGGGTGGCTAAAGAAAGCAGGAGTCTATTTAAATGTTGATGTTCATTGGGTGAATGTGTTGATGGACGCCGATGATGAGCAGTTTCTGTCAGTCTAAAGAGCTTGGGGAATAGTATCATGTGTGTGCTTTAGATCATAAGGTCTGTCATTGAGTCAAGTGGCATGGTTTCGATCCAGCCTCGTAAATGTTGTTATCTGCTATCTATTATCTGTAGTGGTGGGGTGGGAGCAGTCTAACGCATTGAGTCAAGTGGTGTGGTTTCAATCCAGCCTCGTAAATGTTGTTATTTACTATGTAACCCTATCTGTAGTGGTTGGGTGGGAGTAGTCTAACGCATTGAGTCAAGTGGTGTGGGGTGTGGTTTCAATCCAGCCTTGTAAATGTTGTTATTTACTATGTAACATTATCTGTAGTGGTGAGGGGGAGAAGTTCCACGCATTGAGTCAAGTGGTGTGGTTTCAATCCCAAGCTTGTACATGACAAGGAGTAGGCTCGTCTGTCTAACCTTCTTGGTTTACTCCTGGTCCTCGTTTCCTCCTGTTGCTAAAAAACCCTATGTAGGCATACACATGAATTATTGAAATAAAATTTAATATATGTTAGTCATTGGCATAAGGGAGATAACTATTGAAATTCTGAAATATTCAATTGAAATGTTGTGAAACTAAATATCCAGTACATCTAACTATAAGGTATAAACATGGTCTTCTTGTGTTATATAGAAACCCCCACTATATATATAATAAATTTATACACTGGGTATTCAAATGGCCTTGTATTATGACAAGGTGACATATTTTTATTATGCTTAGTGCATGCACTGAGGTCTTTCCTGTGGGAGGAAACCTGAGTACCCGGAGTAAACCCACAAGGTTGAGAAGCCACGAAATGTTCAAAGCAGTGACCAAAATCAGAACCACAGGCCAGAGGTGACCGGCCAGCTAGACCACTAGGAGATACATGTATGCCCACCACACCCGCCTCCCCCCAATCCGCCCCCCGCACCGCTCTCTTTACCAGTAGAGATTAATGATAACTGTAATACTCAGGGGCACTACCATCAACTAAGCAGAGAGAGAGAGAGAGAGAGAGAGAGAGAGGGTTTAATGTACAATTGGCACAAACTAGATAATTTTGGGACTACCATACGGTTCAATTTTATTTCAATAATTCGCTTGCCCGTAGGGGTCTTTAGCAGTGGGAGGAAACCGGAGGACCCTTAGAAAACCCACGAGGTTGGACAGGCGACCCTACTCCTTGTCACATACAAGTGGGGAATCGAAACCACGCCAGTTGACTCAATGACAGACCTTATAATACAGTGCGCACATGCTAACCATTTGGCCATCCAACTCCCCCCACCCCTGTCTCCCAGTAGATATTAATGATAACTGAAATACTCGGGGGGGGGGGCACCACCTTCACCAAAGAATATCTATACAGTTAGTAGAATACAAGTCATTGATTGATTGATTGATTTAGTTCGATATAGAAACAATAGTCAGTGATTGATTGTGTAAACTGTAATTGATTAACAACCATTGACAACAACTCTAGTGATTGTATCAGTGACAATAACATTAATTTCTGTTCTACATTATCTCAGGGTGGTAGGTCCATTCTTAATTACAATTGTATTTTCTACATGATCTAAGGGTGATAGGTCTACAGGTTGGTAGGTAATTTGAAATGACTTTGACGTCCTACTGTTCTGCTCCAACTACGTCATACAGTGTGGTATGAGGGAAATTTTGCCTGGGTAGAGGCATTATGGTCTACTCTTATATCGAATGCAGTGATCGAACACGTGACCTCCAGGCTAGCAAACCGGCGTCTTACTCACTTAGCCACTGTGGCTCCAGGTAATTTGATAATCAGTGAAGGATAAGTTGTCTCAAATAAGAGGGAGTGAGATGGAGTTAAACGTCGACTCGACACAAGCTTGGCCATTTCAGGACTAACATTTTATTTCAATAATCCACTTAAAGATACATTATGAGAGATTAGATAAAGAGCTGGCAGTTCTCACTATAATAGTTAAAAACTAGATGATGTAAAGGCAATTTGCTGAAAATTTCAGTCAAATTAATCCAATATGAACCGAGAATTAAGCGTTTGAAATTTGGGCCTAGCCTCAATCATCATTACTAAAGTCGGTACGATAAAAAACATATGTGAGTTTGAATTAATTTTGCCACACCCCCCCACCCTGCCCACCAGTACCAGATTGACTTTAAATTGCTGGCCCCCGGATCCATTCACTTGATTTGATATTTGTTTATTTTCTGTCTTGTCCGCAGGTTTATCGTGTAGATTTTTCTTTTACGTGTAGTGCGGTCCTCCTGCACTTACTAATAGAATTAAAATCCTCTGTGCCCTCTTTGCCTAATCTCAAAATGACGAATTCTATTTTTATCATTTCAGAATCGCAGCTATGGGGACCAGATATTATCAAGAAACAGATGGAGGACGACCTAGCCAGACGAGTTCGAGAGGCGTTGGAGACTCCGCCACTGGAGCGCATGCAGCGTAAGAAAGAACGCGATCAGAAACAACGACAGAGAGAACTACAAAAACAGAATAGTCATTTACTCCTACGCTTAAATTCTACAGACAATGCTCAGTTTCAAAAATGGCGAGAAAATAAGAACAGACTATTAGAATCTCCTAGAATGGCTTATTCCAGTCCTTCACCCGTGGATTATCTTTTTCGTGATCAACTTTCAAAATCAAATCACGATGAATACCCTGGAGTCTTTGGTTTAGAAAATTTCTCAGAAGGAATCAAAAATATTCGGGATGTATACAGCTCAACAGTTGAAAGATTTCCTCCAATCAAACCTCGTGCAAAACATTTCTACACTAAAGATGGTTTCCTTCAGATTTTAAAAAATGGCAAATTGCCTGACGGTTTCCAGGTTATTGATGATTTGGGGAACTACGTGGATAAATATGGGGTTATTCGAAGTGAACATGGACCTTTTTGGCCTACAGAGTTAGTGCCCTTGTTTCCAGCACCTAAATTACTGGACATTAATAATCTAGGAGTTGAACCACTGTATTTCCAGCTACCAGGTAAGTCTAGCCATTGTATAATTCAGATTAATTAAAAATGGGTGTTGATCTCACCTTTGTAATTACACAGGTTGGGATGTGTGTATAGGCCTGAAAACACTGGATGTATGGGACAAAAAAATACTTGACGTATATGACTAACAATAGTACATTAGACTGACTAACTTTCACGAGCAGTGTTGTATAAAGTTTATTTTGAAGTAATCAATGTTACAGGAGACTTGTTGAATTAATCAATGAAATTCTATATACTATATTATATACTATATTATATACAACAAATGGTTTCTACAATACTATAAACAGACATTACATTCAAAATAATATTACACTAAACAAGTGGTATGGGATGTTCTAGTCATCCAACAGACTCATCAATCAATATAATATTACACTAAACAAGTGGTATGGGATGCTCTAGTCATATGACAGACTCCTCATTCAGTATAATATTACACTAAACAAGTGGTATGGGATGTTCTAGTCATACGACAGACTCCCCATTCAATATAATTTTACACTATACAAGTGGTATGGGATGCTCTAGTCATATGACAGACTCCTCATTCAGTATAATATTACACTAAACAAGTGGTATGGGATATTCAAGTCATCCAACAGACTCATCAATCAATATAATATTACAATATACAAGTGGTATGGGATGTTCTAGTCATAAGACAGACTCCCCATTCAATATAATATTACACTATACAAGTGGTATGGGATGCTCGAGTCATATGACAGACTCCTCATTCAGTATAATATTACACTATACAAGTGGTATGGGGTGTTCAAGTCATCCAACAGACTCATCAATCAATATAATATTACAATAAACAAGTGGTATGGGATGTTCAAGTCATCCAACAGACTCATCAATATATTACATTAGGGCACTATTTAATGAACAGTGATTCTTGGCAAGTTTTTTAGGTTCAGTTGTTGTCAATAATATTATCATGCTTGAACACCTGGTACCACTTCTCATTGGAGGATAGAAATGAGCTACACTACTACTATTAAGGGCTAGGTTGATTATAACTACTCTTAACGTTTCATGTTAAAGGGACAATAACACTCTTGCTGACTTGACAGCTCCAAAAAATAAAAAATAGCCGTATTCTAAGTAATAGATGTGTTAGTGTCCTACCTGTTGTGTAAATTATCCATTAAATCCTATTTTAATTGTTCAGAGGGTTCAAAAATATTTTTAAATCCAAGTCACATTTAGTTGAATTTTTCCAATTTTTTAAATTAGGTGTGTTAAGATGAAATTTGTATCATCAATTAATTTGAATATTGTAAAATAGTGCAATTTGTTGACCAGAATAAAGATTGGGACATATTATTCAGTTACAACAAGAGTGGTATTGAGCCTTTAAAGAGTTTATGGGTTGATAAGTTTAAGATAGAAAAATCCATGTATTCAGCTGAATGTCTCTTTAATACTCCACTGTTACCAAGACGATATAGTATAAGAATATAAAATATTTGATTTTCTCCTATAATGGCTGTGTTTCTGGTAACATCTCCATGGCCTTTCTTCTAGTAACAGCTCCATATTTTAACAACTTGTTCCTGAACTCAATCTTGTGATATCATTTTAACAACTCTATCCTGAACTCGATCCTGTGATATCATTTTAACAACTCTATCTTGAACTCGAGCTTGTTGATTTCATTTTAACAACTCGATCCTGTGATGTCATTTATAAAACGTTTATTTCTCTCCCTGACTTCATTAATTGTGGGAATTTCAATAGTGGAAATATTCCTGTTAACAACAACATGGTCGACACTGACAAGTCATCGACAAAAATTCAGTCACGACACCTTCAGTAATGGAGAGAAAAAAGTTTCTAGAAATTTGATTCGAAGCCATGAACAGAAACATCAATCACTGAAGGCAACAAAAGACAATATTATTTTTGAAAAGGAAAACTTCAAGGGGATGCGCCATGGATATAATTATCCCACCATATCGGAGAATCAGGATGAGACTTCAAAGTATTTTTACAAGCCGAGAAAAACGTCCAAGAGAAGAGAAACAGAATTTAACGCCACGGAAGAGAAATATTTTATCCCACGTGATCACGATGTTAATGGCGTGAATTTTAGTTTTTTATTAGATGGTGGCGACATTTGTTTAAAGTCCAAACCATTTATAATATTTCTCATTCATTCCACGGCTAAAAACGATGAAGCACGGAAAGATATCCGAAATACATGGGCTAGCTCTATCAGACAGGGTTATTGGTATAAAGGATTTTCATTGGATAAAAATGTTACGTATGTTTTTATATTGGGTAATTCTACGAGAAATGTGACAACAGCCGTAGCCAATGAGAATAGACTATATGGAGATATCGTACAGGCGAGTTTTGAAGAATCATATAAAAATACTATTTATAAATCGTACATGGGATTTCGCTGGGTTCGAAAATATTGTAAAGATGTGTCATTTGTTGTGAAAGTTGATGAAGATGTTTTTGTACATGTCCCAAATATTATATCCTATTTACAAAACCTACCAACAGATGTCACGGTTAATCAGACCATATTTGGAGTTCTGTCTGGAAATAACGGTGTGTACCGATCTCCGGCGTATTATAAATGGACAATAAGTTACGAGGAATACCCATTAAGATCGTATCCGTTACATGCTTCCGGTGGGATTTATTTCATGGCCAGAACGGTTGCCATGGATTTAATTAACATGGCGGACTTTATTCCATTGGTTCATATAGAAGACGCTTTTTTCTGTGGAATATTACGTAAAGTTTTAGGATTTACGACAGAAGAACCGGACATTCTTTTACTCCGTGGTGGTATTCCAATTGATTGTATGTTTTATTATAGGAAATCTTTACTTGCGTTGCATCCGGTCGGATCATACTACAAGATAAAACTCTGGAATGATCTGCCTGATTTAAACAAAACTGTGTGTAGGGAAACCGATAAACAAAAAATACGGAATCTTGTATAAATTTTAAAACATGTGTAAATGTTATATTGTTCATCTTTGATAATAATAATATAAATGAAATGAAATGAAATGGGGTTTAATGTCCTACTGTTCTGCTCCGAACTGGGCTAATGAAGACGGGCATATGCCATACAGTGTGCTATGAGGGAAATTTTGCCCAGACAGCGGCACTACAGCCTACTCTTATATCAAACTGTCAAGGGATCTTTTATTTGCACACCAATGTGTACACAGGACCTCGGTTTTCCGTCCCACCCGATGACTAGACAGCTGTCCTTGTCAGGCCCTCCATACTGCATCACTGACAAGGGGGGAACCATGCCGGTAAATCTGGATGAACTTTCTTGGCCATTGCAGGGATCAAAACACCCAACCTCCAGGCTAGCGAGCCAGCGTCTTACCCACTTAGCCACCGTGACCCCCCTACTGCATTTGTCCGACATCACTGTATAATAATGGATGGAGACAATGTATAGCAATAATAAAACTAAAAACACCACAGTAAATATTAAAACAACCAACCTACAGAAACTTGTTGAAACAATTAAACAAAATCTCGTTGAAATGTTAAAACAAAATGCGAAATCTTGTAAAACAAATATTAAAAATAATAAACGACATGTTGTATAGATATTAAAATTCTTGTGATTTATATAGTTGTTGAGATGAAATACATTCTAGGAGTTTTAGGAGCTGTACCTGAATTTTAGGAGCTGATTTTTAGGAGTTGTACATGATATTTTGGAGTTGTACTACATGTTAGTCCCAAAATGACCTAGTTTGTGTTGAATGGACGTTAAACCCCATTGCTATTTCTCTCTCGCTTTCCCATTCATTTAAATTCACCCACCTTGCCATCAAAGTAAGGCCTGTTTCTGCTTTGGTTACTTCACATCATTTGCTCATATTGATTCCAGAAAAACTACCCCCCATTCAACCAGGTAGACCTGATCGTTATGACGTGTATAGTAGGAGGGGCCTATCATTATGATATGTGTAGTTTTGGGAGGGGGGGCTTTCATTTGATTGTCAGCTATGGTTATGATATGTGTAGTGGGATGGGCCTATTGTAATGATGTGTATAGTGGAAGGGGCCTATCGTTTGATCGTTCGCTATTGTTATGATGAAGGGGACATTTTGTTAAGGAATCTGAAAGACTGGGGTATATTGCTTTATTTCTGTACAAAACAGTGAGGCATTTACTGAACTGAAATATTATCAACAAGAATTAATTTAGGAACTAATATTTCTACAATCATCTTTTACTGGTGGGCGGATCGAGCTATAATGTTTTGAGGGAGGAGCTATTATGGCAACTTGTCTATACACACAAAAATATTCTTTAAAGATAAAATTTTTTAATTGAATAAGGACCAGATACTGGTCACATCATTGTTAACATTGCTACAAATTTATTAGCTAAATTACACATTACAATAACCATAAATCGATGTTGATAACCAAAAGTCGCGACATGTTTTATTTACATGCGTTCCATAGTTTTGGTGAGAAAATTTAAAAAAACTCTTTGTTTGAAATGCACAGTAGGATGGTATATGAGGCTTTTATACAGCCTTCTAACTGTCACTCACTTGACACCACCACACAACTGTCAATGTCATACTATTGTCATTGTCACATCATTGTCACACCATTGTCACCACTGTCACCATCACACCATTGTCTCCATCACATCATCATCACCATCATATCATTGTCACATCACTGTCACACCATTGGCACACTATTGTCACCATCACACCATTGTCACTGTCATATCATTGTCACAATCATACTATTGTCACACCTTGTCACCATCACAGTCACACCTTGTCTTATTGTCAGTTTTTACTCTTCGACCCATTTTAGCAGACGATAAATAAAGATGTGCCAGTCTCAAAGATTTACGTTGTCGCAACTTTTTATCAAAATTCTGGACAACAATAGTCTGTTTCTTATACACTGATTCTGCATCATTGTTTATTGTCTGTTTCTTATAAATTGATTCTAAATCATTGATTATAGACTGTTTCTCTTTAACTGCTTGTTCAGAATCCATTTTTAGGGAAGTTTGTGAGCACTCATCTTCATTTCAGCCTGATTCTTTTATGTAGCATTGAGCCTAAAATAGAAAGATGGACATTGCAGAGATAAAGGGAAGGGAGATAACTACATTAGATAGTTGAAGAATTTATTCCCACAGTCAGGTTACTCTCATTAGCTCGCTACCCTTTATCTTAATTTGTAGCATTTTCCTTATTATATCCAGATTATCGCCCTTATTGTTAAAGTTGTTTAACTTTATAATTCCTGATGTCAACTGGCAACCTATCGCCATTCAAGACGACCACAAGGTTGGTCAAAATTTTTTTCTTGTAAGTCATTTTTTTTTACATTTTGAGTGAAGCCTACATTCTTACTGACCCGGGACTGTACACTGCAGTGGATTTTTACGTCTGGGCCCCCCTGATCGAATCGGGGCTCACGGTGGCCTGTTGGGTAAGGCGCTGGCTCGCTAGCCTGGGGGTCGTGTGTTCGATCCCTGCATTGGCCGAGAAAGTGCATCCAGATTTTCCAGCTTGGTCCCCCCTTGTCAGTGATGCAAGATGGAGGGCCTGACAAGGACAGCTGTCTAGTCATTTGGATGAGACGAAAAACAGAGGTCCTGTGTACCCATTGGCATCCACGTAAAAAATCCCTTGACAGTTGGAATTCGATATAAGAGTAGGCCGTAGGTCAGCTTTAAACTGGACACAAGAACAAATTAGATGATTTTAAAGGAATTTTCTTATTGTTAAACAAAGATTTGATATTAAATGAATGTGAAAGAAATTAGTGCTAAATACACAAGATTAAATAATACCTGGATTCCAGTGCTTGTATAATAAAAATAATTGTTTTCTATAGCACCAAACATTCAGTCATTCTGACTGCTCAGTGGCACTTTGTATGTGAATGATACACTAGTTGGACATCCGATTTATAGGAAATTATAAGATTTTTAGTTTTTGCTTTTGTTTGCTCCTGAAATTTTGAAGTGTTGAAGATCCATTCCAAGATACTTACAGAACACAGGTCGGTGGAAGTCGAACGGTGTTATAGTTACACATCATTATATATCTGTAGACTGATATCTTAACACTGGTCTCACTGATGTGTCAATAATTATACATCTGTAGTCTTGACTGACTGTGGTCTCACTGACACATGTATATCAGTAATTAAACATCTGTAGTCTAGACTGAAATCTAATCCACTGTGGTCTCTCTGATATAATTACCGTCACAGTCTCAATATGACCCAGTGAATTTTTTATATGAGAATAGATAATATTATAAATCTGTTAATACCTTTAGACTGCAGGTAGAGTTGATTGGTATCCCCTCGACAGGTAATAATACCTGTAGACCAGGAAAGTTGATTGGTATCCTCTGAACATGTAAATAATACCTGTAGACTATTGAGACTCACCAGGTAATATATGACCACAATATTTACCTGTAATATACTTATATAGGCTGTTATCACCTGAACAGGTAATAAACTATTATCTATCTCTGTACCTGGTGACCAATATACACCTAGTGACAACACTGTTTTAATATCCATACCTAGCGACAAACTTATCATGGATTCACTTTTATTATATTGACATAATGAATCGATGATATCTAATATTACCTGTTCTAAACCCAGGTTTTATATAATAGATACCTGTACTTAAACACAGGTGTTATATCAATAATATGAATATATTCTTGAAGTGGAGCCTCAGTGGATCACTGAGTAAAACGTTGGCTCGTTAACTTGGAAGTCCCATGTTTTATCCCAGTGTTGGCTGAGAAAGTTCATTGGGATTTTCTAGAATGGTTCCCACTTGTTAGTGATGTAGGATCGAGGGACTGGCAAGGGACAATGTATAGTTGCTTGGATGGGAAATAAAACCGAGGTTCTAGCACACTGTATGTCATATGCCTTTTTTCATTAGCCCAGTTGGAGCAGTACAGAAGGGCATTAAACCCTTTTCATTTCATTTCATTTCATTTCGAATCCCCGGTTGTATGTGACAAGGAGTAGGGTCGCCAGTCCAACCTTGTGGGTTTTCTCCAGGTCCTCCGGCTTCCTCCCACTGCTAAAGACCCCTACGCGCAAGCAAATTATTGAAATAAAATTAAACCATATGTTAGTCCCGAAATGACCTAGTTTGTGTCGAGTGGACGTTAAACCCCATCTCTCTCTCTCTCCCTCTCTTCATTTCATTTCATTTCATTTTCTTAGATGCGCTCACATTGAGATTTCTTGTAAACACATAATCATACCATGTTTGAAAATATTTCATTTTTTTTTCGTGGATTGTCTCCCTTGTGAGTTCTTTTTCCCCATTTTGTGCAGAGTCCATATCACTACAGCCCAATATACATTCACTTGATTTGATGTATACATTTGTTGTTAATTTGTTGTAATGTCTGTTGTGTCCGCAGGTTTGTCTCATGGGTTTTCCTTAGTTGTGATGCTGTCTACCTGCTACATCTACAGTAGTAGTTGTGATGCATTCTGAACATCTGAGACACGCTACCTGCGGAGAAGTATGTCAGACACAGTCAATAATAACTATAGAAGGGTGGAGGGGGTACTAGACTCTCTCTATATAATACCTATAGGAGGGTGGTGGGAGTACCAGACTCTCTCTATGTAATACCTATAGAAATGTGGGGGGGGGGGTACTAGACTCTCTCTATATAATACCTATAGGAGGGTGGTGGGAGTACTAGACTCTCTCTATGTAATAACTATAGGTGGGTGGAGGGAGTGCTAGACTCTCTATATACAAAACAATATACAGATGGGAGTACAGTGGGAGTACTAGACTCTCTCTCTATATATATATATATATAATACCTATACCATATTAAAGTTTATCTACCATTCAATATATAGTTGATATACAGCTATCTATGTTAGTCTTCCATTCAGTGGTTGATATATGGCTATCTTTGTTTATTGTACTATAAAAGAATATCAATGAAAACCTTGTTATTTTTATGGACAAATATATATTTTGTTAGCCTAGAGTAGTTTTATGTGATGTTTATATATGATATGAGACAATATACAGCCAGTGACTTGTTGAATAAAGAGTATGTTGTTATACAGATCAATTTGTTTAAGACGACGTCCAGTTAAAGACTTGTCAATCATTGTGTATATGATTTGCTTTTACCACAGTTTAACAGAATTTTTTAACTCGAAATTCATGTATCTGGATTACAGTTGAAATTTATATATCTGGATTTATATATCTGGATTACTGTTGAAATTTATATATCTGGATTACAGTTAGAATTTTTAATTGATATTAATCATTATTTTTGTAAAAAGTTTGGATGAAATTCAATGGAAATATGTGAAATAAGAATGTGTGGAATTTGCCTGATTTTTGTTTGAATCTTCGGTTGAAAAGTATTTTGTTAGTCTCTTATTGACTTTTTTCATTTAGTGATGACATTTGTGTCCTGGTTCTTTTAGGCATGTATGACTATTGAACAACAGAAATATGTAGCTGGCTAGTGGTATCAGGTGTTCTAGAAGAGTAACATGCTCCACAGGACAACATCTATCAATAATATACAATTAGACTAGCTGGTATCATATGTTCTGTCTCATGTACAACACCTATCAATACTATATATCTAGACTTAGTGGTATCAAGTGTTCTAGATGGAGTAAGCATACCCTGTTTCTTGTACAACATCTATCAATACTATATATCTAGACTTAATGTAGCAGGTGTTCTAGAAAGACTTTTATAAACAAACATGATTTTAACTTCTTGTGTAGGCCAAATTTATTAACATGGACACAAAGGCCTATACTGCAGGCCTTACATTAAAATGTACTTGAATTATTCATTATATATTCTGATGTGATAAAGAGTCAAGTCAACAAATAGATTATATGAATAAATGATGGATTACATTCTTAAAACACAATTTTACAGGATAAAAAACTGATCAATATCCACTTCACCTCGGTTTTATCTAGTGACAAAATAAAATAATCGTTTAAAAGTTAAATATATTGGTGTATGTAAATTAGTAAACAACCAGTTGACTCCCCACTAGAAAGTTGACTCACCACTAGAAAGTTGACTCACAACATTGAAAAAATCACATAACCTAATGAACAGTAGTACTAGATGTTCTTGAAATCTCAGTGAAAAACAAGTACCACCAAAGTTCAGTAGATTAATTTAGAAAAACGAGTAACACAAAACTTCAGTGGATTAATTAAAAAAAAAAGAGTAACACCAAATTTCAGTGGATTAATTAAAAAAAACAAGTACCACCAAAGTTCAGTGGATTAATTCAGAAAAACGAGTAACACCAAACTTCAGTGGATTAATTCAAAAAAACGAGTAACACCAAACTTCAGTGCAATAATTCAGAAAAACAAGTAACACCAAAGTTCAGTGGATTAAATTAGAAAAAAACATTAACACCAAAGTTCAGTGGATTACTTTGGGAAAAAACGAGCAACACCAGAGTTGACTCCTATAATTATCTTAATTATCCTATAATTATCATATTAGCTTGATAATGTTGAGAGAATACTCTACGAAACGTCGCCTTAAATACTTTAGTAGCTGTTTTCCATAAGTATGTGTTTTGTTGTTATAATTATCTTGTTGACAGTTTAAATTAATAGAAATGGTAAAACACCATGACTAATTAAATAAATGATACAGGTGAATAGAATAGTTTATGAATTTGAAAGAATAATTATTTTACAATAAATATTAGCCAAGTATCGAGAATAATTGCTGATTATGAGGACACAATGACTGTTTCTTTTAAAGAATAATTGTCTTGCAACGTGAAATAGAATCAAAATGGATAACAGATTAAAAATGACTCTACCGGTATTACATTACAACTTGTGGCAGAACAGAATTCCAGAAATAACCACTGAGGATATGGAGAATCCAGACGATAAACAAAACAGACTATTTTCTTACTCGGAACAATTAGAAAAATATATCGCAAAATATAAACAACGACCATTAGATATAAAATATTGGCCGTATGGACCGTACTGGCCACGTTATTACACAGGAGTATTATTAGAGACACCTTTACATATTAACACAGGTGTTTCGTATATAGAATATCTATACATACATAATACAGGTGAGAATATATATACATACATAATACAGTCCCTTCTGAAGGACTAGAAACTATCAGACTGTCAATCCTGTGAAAAATTCTGATTAGTGAGCCAGCGTCTTACTTACCGACCCAACTACTGCAGCTTCCCAATATATATTAATCAAAAATGTAGGGGATATTCAGAAACAATACAAAACTGCGGAAATGCACATCTGTTTTTATTAGAGGTAACCAGTGTATGTTAATAACAGGCCAAGAACCGATAGGAAAGCAAACATGGATAGGATAAACCAGCAAGTGACAGTTTTCATCAACCATTCCTTTAAGTGTCAAATTTGCCAATGAACCCCTCCCACGTCCCACGTGTATGGCGCTATGGCATGTCGCATGTGCAGCTCAGTGGTTCTGTTGGGGCGATAAGTTGTTCATCTGTTAACATACTCTCAAAGCATGTCAAGTGTCCATGACTATTTATCATATGACAACCTGCATAGGTATTTGCATTTCAATATCCCCTACTTTTTTTGAAGAGTATATATATATGTAAAGGTAACATTCAGCTTTCCAAAACCTGAACTATGGAAATTGAAAAAAAGATATTTTACAGCAGATTATTGTTATTCAACAGTTCTTGTATAAATTGTATATTTCAGTTGCCATGACAACCATTGATAAACAACATTCTCCATACAGTGGTAGATGGCGGGGTATGTTGGTAGTTTATGATTCCGAGAGAAGTCAACGTGACCACGCCCCACAACCCGTGCCTGAAGGTTGCTGTCCTAATCTAGTCTTTGAATCTCGTTTTGAATGTGGAAATTTACGGCAAGCTCGCAGAGTGTAAGTTGTTAATGTATGGCAAGTTCGGGGGGTGCAAAATTTACGACAAAAGGAGAGAGCAATGGGGGTTTAATGTCCACTCAACACTAAACTAGGTTGTTTCGAGACTAACATATGGTTCAATTGTATTTCTATAATTCTCTTGTGCATAGGGGTCTTTTGCAGTGGGAGGAATTCGAAGGACCTGGAGAAAACCTTGCCAGTTGATTCAATGACAGACCTTATGATACAGCACGCACATGCTAACCATTCGGCCATCCAACCCCGCAAAATCTATGGCAAGCTCAGTCACTGTTACGAAGGGTGACATCCCATTTAAAACAGATAGGATGATCAGTCACTGTAACGAAGGGTGATATCCCATTTAAAACAGATAAAATGATCAGTCACTGTAACTGTAATGGGTTAATGCAGGCGAAATAGTCTGGCATTTAGTCAAGTGGTATGATTTCGATTCCATGCTTGTCCAGGGGCGGATCGAGATGGGGGGTTGAAACCCCCCCTGCTCAGCTACATAAATTTTTTTGTAAATCAACACTTTTTATGAGAAAAGTTTCTCTGCCGTTTGCTTTATCCTTAATCGTCAGATGTGGGACAGGATGGGCACTCAAAGCACGAGATAATGATATAGATATTATGTGATATCACAATTAATGCTTTGCATTCATGAAATTGAATCACAATGTCATTGTATAATTCATAATAAAAATTGACGTCAAACGAGGTGTTGAATTTTTGTGTTTAAAAAGCTCAATGTGTATGTATATACGCCAAAATGATGATAGAGGCAATAGGGGAGGGGGGGATACATTGTCTCAGGAACCTGGCACCCCCCTCCCCCCCCTGCAAAAATTCCTGGATCCGCCCCTGGAGTCGTCTGTCCAGCCTCTTAGGTTTCTTCTCACTGCTATACCTAAAGAACCTTTCCCCGACAGGCAAGCAAATTATTGAAATAAAACTGAACCATATATTATTAGTCCAGAAATAACCTAGTTTGTGTTGAGTGGATGTTAAACCCTGTTTTCCTCTCTCTGTATTTCATATTATAGAGGGCAGTATTATAGATGTATATTATATATTTTTGTATATTTTAGAGGGCAGTATGAATATGAGCTGGTATTAAGAACAGATCTATATACAAATCGTCATACACAATGGTATTACTTTCGTGTAACTAACGCAGTACCTGGTATAACCTACAAGTTTAGAATTGTTAATTTATTAAAACGTGATAGTCTTTATAACTATGGTAAGTCTCTATAATTATGGTAAGTCTCTATAGCTATTGTAAGTCTCTATAACTATGGTAAGTCTTGTGAGTCTCTATAACTATGATAAGTCTATATAACTATGATGTCTCTATATAACTAAGTATGTCTCTATAAATATGGTAAGTCTATATTTATAATCAGCTGATTAAGATTCAGGTTTATGGGTCATTTCTATCCTGTGTAGCCCAATACAATTGACAACAGGATTAGGTTTTATGATGAAAACAGTATTTATTCCAAGCTTCCATGATCCATCCATGATTATATATTTTGTTATAACAGGAATGATAAATATTGTTATTTACTTGTTATTTCAGGAATGCGACCTTTGGTTTATTCAGAAAAAGATGCCAAAGAACAGGAAATAGGTTGGAGACGAACAGGTCATCATATTAGGTAGGTGACATTCTGACATTATTGACAGTTAATGTAGACTATATGTTATAAAGTTAGATTATAGACTGTATGATATTGAGTTAGAATATAGACTATGATATTGAGTTAGATAGACTGTATGTTATTGAGTTAGATTATAGACTGTATGATTATTGAGTTAGATTATAGACTGTATGATATTGAGTTAGATTATAGACTGTATGATATTGAGTAAGAATATAGACTATGATATTGAGTTAGATAGACTGTATGTTATTGAGTTAGATTATAGACTGTATGATATTGAGTTAGAATACAGACTGTATGATATTAGGAGGGGATATTTTATTGTGTAATTTGTTATATTTCAGTTATTGTAATAATATCGTCCATCATACCTGTCCATTATTACAGCGAGGGATATCTTATTACATGTTAGAATGGCAGATGGTAAGATAAATATACATATATCACAATTGGACATATTTATACGTTTATATTTCTGACGCAAATGATTAAAAGAAATTCATTTTGATTTTGGATCACCATGACAACACAGAAAAATACAATTGATAATATCTCGAAACACAGGTGTAGACACAAAACAAATCAACAAACTCAAAAACTATTTATGGAATAAAATCAAATAAAATTGAAACTTTTGGGTGGGTGGGGGGGGGGGCACAATCAAAACTTCTTGTCATATTAAAACTCCAGAAACAAATCAGCTACCAATTTCCTTGAGCATTAACATATTTTTAAAAATTTTGTATTGAATGTATAATTTGTAAGAAAAAAGGGGGCGGTGGCCAAATGGTCATAAGGTCTGTCAAGTTGTGTGGTTTGCTCACTACAAAGGAGTAAGGTCGCCTGTTCGGTCTTGTGGGTATTTTCTGTGTCCTTCGGTTTCCTCTCACTGCTGAAGAGAATTATTGAAATGGATATGTTAGTCCCGGAATGACCTGGTTTGTGTCCTGTGGATGTTAAACACGGTTTCTCGCTCTCTCCCTGTCTTTTGTAGGAAGAGTTTTGACAATGCTTGTTTGATTTGTAGCAGTTTCAAAATTCTGTTATCCCTAACCTTCAATCCTTCTCAGATAATACATACTACCTGGCCCACTGTTATCCCTACACCTTCACAGATACTACCTGGCTTATTGATTGTTTTATTTGTAGGAGTTTCCTAATTCTGATGATACATACTACCTGGCCCACTGTTATCCCTACACCTTCACAGATCTGAAGAACGATCTAGACAGTATTTTATCAGATCCAGTACGCCAGCCATTGATCAATAGAGAAGTCATGTGTGAAACACGTGCAGGAAATAGTTGTTTTTTATTAACAATTACAAATCCTGGTGAGTAAAAATACATTTCACACTGATTGCTTCCCCTTTACCTTCTGATATACAGATCAACCGTAACAACAATATCAGTGTTAAAATTATATTTACCATTATTTTACCAGGTTTAACACATATGTAATATTGGCTTACACTAACACTGTCGTTTAACCCAAACCCTTCTCTCCTCACCCCCCCCCCCACCCCACTGCTCATGCGAAGTCTATACAGGTGAGAGCCAGGGAACCTATACATTTAAAAGAGTAAATTTCCTTCAGAAATGGGCTCAGAGGGCATGAAATCAAGGCTCCGCAGTCATTTACACCAGAACAGGGATTAACCCCCACCCTACCCTGATCAATGTTCTGCACACTTCACTGTTTAAGTCTCAAAATTGAAACGATTTGGTGATAAATCCTACTTTCTAACCCTACCTCTAATCTGTCTTAGATACCAGGATAATGTCCAATCTGTCTTAGATACCAGGATAATATCCAATCTGTCTTAGATAATGTCTAATCTGTCTTAGATACCAGGGGCCTGTTTCACGAAATTTTAACTAAGATAAGATCCAAATTTTAGTAATTTGATTGGATAATATTAGATTGATTTTAGAATTTTAGTGCTTAGCCAATCAAAATTGAAGTATCTACTAAAATTTGGATTTTATCTTTAGTTAAGATTTCGTGAAACAGGGCCCAGGATTATATCCAATCTGTCTTAGATACCAGGATATTATTCTGTCTTAGATACCAGGTTAATATCCAATCTGTCTTAGATACTAGGATATTATTCTGTCTTTGATAGCAGGATAATGTCCAATCTATCTTAGATACAGGGATAATATCCAATCTATTTTAGATAGATACCAGGATAATATCCTATCTGTCTTTTATACCAGGATAATATACGATGTGTTGATTGTATTTATAGAATATACAATGTGTAAACGGAAGAAGAAATATGTGGTTATAACAGCTCGAGTTCATCCTGGTGAGACACAGGCCAGTTGGATGATGAGAGGTTTACTGTATTTTATAACAAGCAATGATGCTACTGCCCAGGTAATGATAACATTGATACTACTGCCCAGGTAATAATATCGCCAGAGAAAAATACTGCCCAGGTAATAATAACTTTGATTCTGCCTAGGTAATAATAACCTTGATACTACAGCCTAGGTAATAATAACATTGATACTACCGCCCAGGTAATGATAGCATAGATACTACTGCCCAGTTAATAATACCACTAGGTAACAATACTGCCCAAGAAATAATAACACTGATACTACTGCCGAGGTAGTAATAACAATGATACTACAGCCTAGGTAATAATAACATTGATACTACATTGATACTACCGCCAGGTAATAACATTGATACTACCGCCCCAGTAATAATACCGCTAGCTAACAATACTGCCCAGGCAATAATAGCATTGATACTACTGCCTAGGTAGTAATAACCATAGGCGTACGGGCTCGATGACAGTTAGGGGGGGGCAGAACCAGAAATGCCAGAACAAAATTTGGGTTTACAGAGAGCGCCGGTCTTCCTTGAGGGGCGAAGAGAGCGGAGCTTACCTTGCTCCCCCCCCCCCCAAAAAAAGAAAAATTTGGAATATTTGACGGCTGCAAAGCCGTTTTCCTGCTATTTCAGCCCGTGAACAGTAACTTCAAAGTGGTCTAATATAACCTTATTAAGGTGGCTGACTCAAATTCCAGTCAATCGTTGGGAGAAAATTTTGAAAATTTAACTGCGGCAAACGCGTTTTCCTGCTATTCCAGCCTGTGAATACAGCAACTTCAATTTGGTCCAATATAGCCTACCTGGCTGACCGGAATTCCAAACAACCAATCAATCGTCGCTGGGTTCGGGGGTATACCCTCCCGAAGAAAATTTTGAAAATATAACCACCGCAAATCCGTTGTCTGCTATTCTATCCCAGGTAAACTCCAAAAGTATCCAATGGTTTTAAAACCGAAATCCCACTCTGAATTCCAGCCATCTAATCAGACTGTTGCAGCTGCATTCACAAACAATAATTGATGCCCGAAAAATGTGGCACAAAGTAGAGTGGCTCCAGGCAACATTTTTTAATCCATAGTCAACTCAGTACAAATTCATGGTATTCAATTAAAAGAAAAGTAAAATTAGTGTTATATTAGGGCTCGATAACAGTAAGGAAAGCAGAACTAGAAAGGCCCGAAAAAATTTCGGGTTTACAGACAGCGGCACCGGTTTTCTTCGAGAGGCGAAGAAGCGGAACTGACCTTGTATGGAGTCCCCAAGAAAATTTTGGAATATTTGACAGCCACACACGCATTTTCCTGCTATTCCAGCCCGTAAAATTAGTGTTTTATTAGATTTCGGCCACTTTATTTTGCCAAGTAGATGAAATAAAAAATTTTTTTTCACTTTACCCATCTGCCCGAAAAGTCAGCTTGCCCGAAAGTTAGGGGGCAGCTGCCCCCGCTGCCCCCCCGGCTCGTACGCCTATGGTAATAACAATGATACTACAGCCTAAGTAATAATAATACTGATACTACAGCCTAGGTAATGATAACCTTAACCCTTACTACTGCCCAGGGAGAGGGGAAGATACTTACTCATAGGACAATTTAATTCAATAATTCATTTCCCCACAGGGGTCGTTAGCAGTGGGAAGAACCAGCGGGACCTGTCAAAATCCCACAAGATTGTCTTTTACAACCTTAAAAGGTAATCACGCTACTGGACTTATATGTAATGACAGATACCTAATAATATAAAGCTCTTATATTGGAACACTCACTCACACCACCCCCTCCTGCTTGGTGGGTATAAAATTGATGTAATAATTTTATTTTCAGGAACTACGTAATAATTGTATATTTAAAATAGTGCCAATGATAAATCCAGATGGGGTTATTGTAGGAAATTATCGATGTTCTCTAGCAGCACGAGATTTAAACAGAAATTATCGACATCCAAAACGAGAAAACTTCCCCACGATCTTCACCATCAAGAACATGATAGATGATCTCCTTAATAAAAATGAGGTAATTTCTTATATACTTTACTTCTGGTGGTAAATTTACTTAGGGTTAATTATAGATAATTTACCAGGAGATTGTAATTTGACGAATTAGAATTTATTTTTAGCATTTTTCCTTGTTGTTGGCCATGTTTTTATCTTGTGTCTTTATTTTGCATTTGACTAGGTTGTGTTATACTATGATCTATATATATGTGTTTATTTTGTATTTGACTAGGTTGTGTCGTACTGTGATCTACATTTGTTTATTTTGTATTTGATTAGGTTGTGTTATACTGTGATCTAAATATGCTTATTTTGTATTTGACTAGGTTGATGGTACTGTGATGTACATGTGTTTATTTTGTATTTGACTAGGTTGTGTTGTACTAGCTGTGATCTACATGTGTTTATTTTGTATTTGACTAGCTAGGTTGTATTATACTGTGATTTAAATATGTTTATTATGTATTTGACTAGGTTGTGTTATACTGTGATCTGTATGTGTTTATTTTGTATTTGACTAGGTTGTGTTATACTGTGATCTATATGTGTTTTTTTGTATTTGACTATGTTGTGTTATACTGTGATCTATATGTGTTTATTTTGTATATGACTAGGTTGTGTTATACTGTGATCTACATGGCCATAGTCGTAAACAGAATGTATTTATGTATGGTAATAATAAAATCATTGATCAAGACAGTCCTACAGGTGTTGATGCTGCCCAATCATTTATAGCTGAACGACTGTTTCCTTGGTTAATGGCAGTAAAGGTAAATATATCTTCTCTTCTCCAGTATATAGAGTTATCTTTCCACATAATCCAGTGTTGTATGACATCCCTTTCAACCCGACAACCCAAATGTTATATCATATAAGATAATATAGTTGACTTGTTACTTCACGAGAGCCATGGTGGCCAAGTGAGTAAGACGTATGTTGGCTCACTAAACTGGAGGTCCTGTGTTTGACCACTGCCTTGGCCGAGAAAGTTCTGGGCATAATCAGCGTTTCTGGGAAGGGACAACGTACTGTCGTTCTGATGGGACGAAACACCAATGTCCTGTGTACACATTGACATGCACATAAAAGATCCCTTATACCGATATGACGAAAGTCCTTCTTCATTAGTCCATTCGGAGCATAATAGTAGGACGTTAAACCTCATTTCATTTCATTGCTACTTCGTTGTTATGGCTTTAAGCCTAAAAACTAACCAATCAATGTCCTGTATATTTTTATGATGATAGACATCCTGGTTTCACATCATATTTTTCTGTTTCTTTTATTTAGTCACCAGAGAAGTTTTCTTTCAAGTCCTGCAAGTTTCAGATAAAACGTTGCAAAGAATCTACCGGTCGTGTTGTGATGTGGAGACAGATGAAAATACCAAATAGTTTTACGTTGGAAGCAACGTTCAGTGGTACTATTCTAGATAAGTAAGTAAAGTCAAATAGTTCAACGTTAGAAGACACGTTCAGTGGTACTATACTAGATAAGTAAGTAAAGTCAAATATAATATTTACAACCACAACCATAAATAAACATTCTAGATAAGTCAGTAAAACCATGGGTAATATTTACCACCAACTCTAGAAATAAACATATTCTAGATAAGTCAGTAAAATCATGGGTAATGTTTACCACCAACTCTAGAAATAAACATATTCTAGATAAGTCAGTAAAATCATGGGTAATGTTTACTACCAACACTAGAAATAAACATATTCTAGATAAGTCAGTAAAACCATGGGTAATCATTACCACCAACACTAGAAATAAAAATATTCTAGATAAGTCAGTAATTAAGAACAATCGAATTACAAAGTCTCCTAAGTAGAAACATGATGTAGTCAAAGACAATGGGCATGTTTCAACTGTGATAGCTTGTTACTCAACTGGTGCCTGCATTGAGTATTCCATTAGATATTTATTTGGATCACCTGAACCACTTTTCCGTAATGCCCTAGATATTTGGATCACCTCAACTATTTTTCTGTAATGTCATAGATATTTATTCGGAACATCCATTATAGAACATCATCAACATACTGTTTCCTCATAGTGTGTGTTTTGTCAAAACTAGGTCATTTCGGGACTAACATATGGTTTAATTTTATTTCAATAAATCACTTGCGCACAGGTGTCTTAGCAGTGGGAGGAAACTGGAGGACCCAGAGAAAACCCACGAGGTTGGACAGGCGACCCTACTCCTTGTCACGTACAAGAGAGAGAGAGAAATTGGGTTTAACGTCCACTCGACACAAACTAGGTCATTTCGGGACTAACATATGGTTTTATTTTATTTCAATAATTCACTTGCGCGTAGGGGTCTTTAGCAGTGGGAGGAAACTGGAGGACCCGAAGAAAACCCACGAGGTTGGACAGGCGACCCTACTCCTTGTCACGTACAACCGGGGATTCGAAACCACGCCAGTCGACTCAATGACAGACTTTATGATACAACGCGCGCACGCTAACCATTCAGCCATCCAACCCCCTTGTCACGTACAACTGGGGGATCGAAACCTTGCCAGTTGACTCAATGACAGACTTTATGATACAGAGCGCACACGCTAACCATTCAGCCACCCAACCCCCGATAAAGAAACAACAAGATTATGGACATGTTAGCGATTGTATACAGTGTCAGTTAAAAGCCTGATTAAATAAATGTGTATTAAGTTGTTTTAGAAATGTGATTTTATTTTACAGAACAAGCTGTCGCCATTTTAACTGTAGAGATTATGAAGATATGGGTAAAACTTTATGTGAAGTTGTTTTAGATTATCAAAATATGCAGGAGAATAAAGAGTGAGTATATTGAGAATTTCACCTGTTCAAATTTCACAAGTTATTTGTTTAAATGATTACACTTTAAATTTACCAGTATAACTACACTTTTCACACGTTATTTGTTCAAATAATCATTCGGATTGCACAAGTAAAAGTTATATGTTTAAATACACATTTCACCAATATACATGTTTTACATCGAAAACATGATTATATTTTGATCACTGACTGATTGAATGATGGTCTGTTGTTTTTGCAGTTATCAGATGGAAGTTGTCATGGATTTAACTCGAGCTATAACACATCAGATTCTAGCGAACCGTGGTCTCGTACCAAAACACGTTCAACTGACAGATGTACAGTCTGATAAAGGTAAAATATACTGAAGTCTGATAACGTTGGCCTTTGAAGCCAGGGGACTCAATGGTAGGGTGCTGTCTGAATAACCAGGGTTACGAAAACGCTAATGTCCAATGTATGAGTTGGCACACGCATAAAAGAAACCTTTACAGCTAGTATATACATGGCATGCACATTCAATATAAGTACATGCACCATCGACTGCTCCTTGCTTTCAGCTCAGTGGACCCAAAATTTCTCAGCAACAGGGAGAGAAAGCCCGCCCCCTAAAGTGCCCCAAGTTTGGTTTGCCTACCTACTTTTTGAGGCCCCAGCACACCTCTGACTGTAGGCCTCACAGCTATTGACCAATATTACTATTACAATTACTCACTAATGTTTCATAAAATTTACAGTAAATTTGTGTTTTTCTTTCCTAGTGTTTGATTCTGGAATATCTGTAGAAGGTTCAGACATGAGTTCTGGTTCACAAACAGACACAGAAAAAATATCGGAGATAACTACGGAATTAGTAACTAATCAGAAATCAGCATTAGTTATAAATAACAACAGACAATTCGATAATAAATCTAAAGAACGGAAATCATCCAATAAAGAGAATAAGTTATTGACACAAAACAATTCATCAGTTGTAAAATCATCGTCCAAGGGAGACAACTACAATGATATAAACTTACAGAAGATAATAGATATGTCAAGCATGAAGTCATTGGATGGCTGTTTAAATCTTTTAGCCGAGTTGAATGTTTGTCAGGCTGTACTAGAATCAGAGTAAGTCGTTTGATATACTCCTAGATGTTTTTCTTTCTTTTCTCATTTTGTATTCAATTTAAAGCTATTATGAAATGACTACACATAAAAAGACTCCCAAGACGTTGTTGAATTTTTTCAAACTTCTGATTCAGTTCAAAGCTATATGATCTATAGTATATGTATTTATTGTTTTACCTGTAATTTATTTACGCTATTAATTTGCTAACATAATAATCATATATATATTGTAATCTTTTTAACAATAGTATGTATAAAAATGGCTACTGAAATATTTAAAACTTGTGCATGATTCTTTTTATGTGTCTCAATAAAACACTTAAAGAAGCTAATATTTGGGACCTAGAAATTGACACAAATGGGTCGCAACGCATAAAATAATGTGATATGAATGTATATAAACTGATTTACATTCAATCGTTTCTGATTTTTACTCTAATTTCTAATCAGTTACGTTCGGCGAAATACGCCAGATGTTTCAATCAAATGGAAATCTCTAGCGCCTGGTTATTCCAGTCCACACCGATAGTAGTTATTGCGCATGCTCTCCAGATAAGAATATGGCGTCACCGTTTGACATGACTTGTGGAATATGCCTAGCCTCGTTTTTCGAGACCCTTATTACAAATGGCGCCGAAATGCATTATGGTACACGATTCGTGTACCAATGGTAAAATGTTTATTTTGTCTTAAATATTGGATATCAGAAGCCCATCTTTTCCTGGTTAGATCACACCATCAATGTTGATTTAACTTAACAAATAATTTGTCTTTTCAATGTCAAATATTTAAATTACTTTTTCTAAAACCTTCACTTTCCTAATTGTTTTTAGTGATTATTTTTTAATAGCTACTTGTCCTATGTTGAGAATCTAGGTTTTTTTAGGGAATCTTCTGTTATTTAGGACTTTTGACATTTCTATACAATACTGCTTTTCCCATGTTGTTGCAACAAGTTTTAAAACCTGTACATTTTTATATTATAATTTGCATCTCAACATGGGTACCGTATTATATTATAATATAATTTACATCTCAACATGGGTATGGGTATCATATTATATTATAATTTACATCTCAACCTGGGTATCATTATAATTTACATCTCAACCTGGGTATCATATTATATTATAATGTACATCTCAACATGTACCATATTATATTATAATTACATCTCAACCTGGGTATCATTATATTATAATTTACATCTCAACATGGGTAATATATTATAATTTACATCTCAACCCAGGTACCATATTATATTATAATTTACATCTCAACCCAGCTACCATATTATATTATAATTTACATCTCAACATATGGGTATCATATTATATAAATATTTTTTTTTTTTAGTTCATCAGATAGTGACAGTGAATCAGAACCAGAACTGAAACCACCTGAAATAAAACAGCGAAAAAAGAAACGGAAATCACGAAAACAGAGAGATAGAGAAAATAAAAAACTTTTAAATGAACGGCGAAATAGTGATAACAGTAAAAAACCATCGGTAAGTAAAACATAAAAAAAACAACATAAGACATAGTATTGTCTTCTTTAATATTATTTGGGGGGGTTGCATGGCTGAATGGTTAGCGTGCACGCGCTGTATCATAAAGTCTGTCATTGAGTCCACTGGCGTGGTTTCAAATCCCTGGTCGTACGTGACAAGCAAATTATTGAAATAAAATTAAACCATATGTTAGTCCCGAAATGACCTAGTTTGTGCCGAGTGGATGTTAAACCCCATCTCTCTCTCTATCTTTAATATTGTTTACATTATATAACCTGTTAGTGTTCAGTTGGGTGGCGGAATGGTTAGCATGTGCGCGTTGTATGATAAGGTCTGTCATTGAGTCAACTGGCGTGGTTTCAATTATCCGGTTGTACGTGACAAGGAATAGGGTTGCCTGTCCAACCTTGTGGATTTTCTTCAGGTCCTCCATAACTATAATACATGACATAATAGTTCAAAATTGTGTTTACCATCGGGTTAATTACTTGCCATTTTCAGAGAGTTATTAAAATATAAAATAGTTGTTTTTTTTTATTTCAACCATTATCACTACTGATGATTTAAAATGGAACTCTATTAAAGGGACATGCCTGACAATTTTAAACGTAACTCTGTTAAAGGGACACCCCTGACAATTTTAAATGAAATCTATTAAAAAGACATTCCTGACAATTTTAAAGCAATTTCTATTGTAATTACATTCCTGATAATTTTAAAGGGAACTTTATTAAAGAGACATTCCTCCATGTTGTAAATTTAGTGATGTTTTTAAATTTCATTCACTCCATATATAGGCACTTCCTGTTATTGCACACAATGATTCTCGATCCGTTGCCTTGACAACTAATACTGATACAATCACTGCTTCAAATGTTGTTTCATCTGTGAACATTGGTAAAAAACAGGTAGGCCTATAGATAGAGTAGTCTGTAGAGTAGCCTGTGTAAGTCTATGATAAGATAGAGTAGTCTGTGTAGAGTACTATGATTAGAGTAGTCTGTGATAGTCTACTATGATCAGATAGTAGTCTGTAGTAGAGTACTATGATAAGATAGTGATAGAGTAGTCTGTGATAGCCTATGATAAGATAGAGTAATTTGTGATAGACTGCTGTGATCATATACAGTAGTCTGTATAGAGTAGTCTGTGTAGAGTAGTCTGTGATAGAGTAGTCTGTGTAGAGTAGTCTGTGATAGAGTACAATGGTAAGGTAGAGTAGTCTGTGTAAGCCTATGATCAGATAGAGTAGTCTGTGTAAGTCTATGATCAGATAGAGTAGTCTGTAGAGTAGTCTGTGATAGAGTACAATGGTAAGGTAGAGTAGCCTGTGTAAGTCTATGATCAGATAGAGTAGTCTGTGTAAGTCTATGATCAGATAGAGTAGGCTAATCTGTGATAGCCTATGATCAGATAGAGTAGGCTAGTCTGTAATAGAGTACATGTACTATGATAAGATAGGGTAATTTGTGATAGAGTAGTCTGCGATAGCCTATTATCAGGTAGAGTAGGCTAGTCTGTGATAGAGTACAATGATACAATACACAAATTTGTGATAGAGTACAAAGATAGAGTAATCTGTAGTGGGGTAGCTGATTAATATTTGTACATGGTCTAGTTACTTAATGGTTGGTTAGCTAGATGTAAATAGAGAATCTCCTACCAGTCTTTTTTGATATCAAAAAAGACGAGTAGGAGATTTTATTTATCATCCAATCCCTTCTTACATGCACAAATAGATAAATAGAATTCTTTGCTGTAGATTTTACTTTTACTGAACATTATGGCGTAGTGATACATCATTTTTTGACAGCAATTCAACCATTGCAAAGTCCTTTATATTGACCCAGTGTTTCCATCAAGGTCAAATGAATAACAATAGTTCAGTTTTAATAATAAAAAATGTTACTTTTAATAAGAAATGAACTGTTCTTTGAAAATAAAAAAAAAGTAGTTCCTTTTCAACTGACCAATCAAATTCATGTAAAGCGATATCTCCTAAGGAGATATCGCAGTAGATTATGAAATATATTACAAAGCGATATCTACTGTAGAATGTATTATTGGGTGATAAAGCCTTTTATATAACTTTTGTTGTTTTAATGTATCAAATACATCAATAAAAAACTATGTGCAAATTTTGTGCTTCTGGATTAATGGTTGGTGTAATGCTAGTTACATAGATTAGTTGCTTACAGGTTCAGATCATTGGCAACATCCAGCTGATTAGCTGCTTACAGGTTAAGATCATTGGTAACATCCAGCTGATAAGCTGTTTACAGGTTAAGGTCATTGGCAACATCCAACTGATTAGCTGCTTACAGATTAAGATCATTGGCAATATCCAGTTGATTAGAAGTTAGATCTGAAAACAATAACTGAGTTGATTAGATTTTAGAAATAATGTTAATCAAATATTTAAATATTTAAAATTAGAGACACTATAATTGTCTTCAAACAATGTCATAAATATTGTTTAGTTTTTGATTAAAGATAAATTAACAATGTTTATCAAGTTACTGCGCTATTTTAACATCAATATATATGTACAAACTAAATTGACCTAATGTTGATCTTTCATTTGGCCTCAAAGGTTATATAAATCATTATTAGACATTTATTCCCATGCCAACAAGCCCATAATCAACTCTCTAAACTATTGGATGGCTTTGATTTTCAACAGATTTAAGCACAATTCCCAGTTGATAATTTAATAAATACATTTCTTAATATCCTAACAACAACGGTAGCACTTACAATTGAGACTACTCACTACACTGTTCTTCAAATAGACATACCTCTGCTGAGATTGAAGTAATCTGACTGAAATATGTTCCCTTGTCATTATCTTTAACTATTATAGTGAGAACTGTCAGCTGCATATTTAAATCTTACATAATACATCTTATTTAATGTTACAGCTGTTAGAAAATGTGAATATCATCAAAATGACTTTTTGTTATAGATGTATGTTTCACATGTTACAGACAGACGTATGTTTCACATGTTACAGACAGATGTATGTTTCACATGTTATAGACAGATGTATGTTATAGAGAAATGTATGTTACAGACAGATGTATGTTTCACATGTTACAGACAGATGCATTAGTTTAATAATAATAATTTTATATATATATTATGTTACAGTCTGGTACTGAAAGTGAAAGACTACAGAAAATTAGTATTGATAATAGTTGTATATGTTACAGTCTAGTACTGGAAGTGAAAGACTACAGAAAGTAAATAATTGTATATATATGCATTATGTTACAGTCTAGTACTGGAAGTGAAAGACTACAGAAAGTTAGTATTAATAATGCCCAGTTTATCAGTAAATATGAAGGACGCAGTAATGGAGGTGTTCCGTGTTTTACCGAGGAAAGATCCATGGAAAGAGCGGCAAAGGTCAGTCACAGTTGATTACCCATTGCACTTGTTAATTACCCATAGTTCAATGTACGTTATACTTGTCTATTTGATTGACACTTAGTTTAATAGTGAAACATAATTATGTGATCAAATGTACACTAGCCTTAATTTATGTATGTTTAATTGTAGAGAATGGCCGAGTTGCAGAAAAGATCTGAAGAAGATAAAGAACAAGAATTAACTTTTTATGTAAGTTCAGAATTACCATGATTAGTTCTATTTAATCCTTCATCTCTTTTTATCACGACTTAGCTGCTTTGGGCGTATGTCTTATATCCTGGGGGGTAAGACACTGGCTCGCTAGTCTGGAGGTCGGGTGTTCGACGCCTGCATTGGCCGAGAAAGTTCATCCAGATTTTCTAGCGTGGTTTCTCCTTGTTAGTGATGAAGGACGGAGGGCTGACAAGGACAGCTGTCTAATTGTTCAGATGGGACGAAAAACCGAGGTCCCGTGTACACATTGGCGTGCATGTAAAAGATCTTTTGACAGTTGGAATTTGATATAAGAGTAGGCCGCAGTGCCGCTGTCCGGGCAAAATTTTCCTCATAGCACACTGTATGGCGTATGCCCGTCTTCATTAGCCCAGCTCAGAGCAGAACAGTAGGACGTTAAACCCCATTTTATTTCATTTCATTGCTTGGCAACCTATCTTTATATTTCTATTAAATAGCTTATAGTCACGTCTGTAATTAAATGTTCTTTCTCTTAACTAACAGCATCTGTTTTATAGAGTGTATTATTAGTTTTATTGCATAAAATGCAGTTTCATGTCATAGAATCTGTATTGTTTCATGTAGTAGATTCTGTATCTAATGGTAGAGTCCTTGTATCTGTAGTAATTTAGTTAGTGTGATATATTGTAGTTATATAGTTAGAATAGTGTGATATATTGTAGTTATATAGTTAGAATAGTGTGATATATTGTAGTTATATAGTTAGACTAGTGTGATATATTGTAGTTATATAGTTAGACTAGTGTAATATATTATAGTAGTGTGATATATTCTAGTTATATAGTTATAGTAGTGCGATATATTGTAGTTATATATACTAATGTCCAAAAGAAAGTATACACTGTGCATTTCGTCCTGCTTCAAACAAAGTCGTTTTTCCATTGTATGCGGTATTTTGGTACAATGTCCATTTGTTTGGCCTTTTATTTGCTTAGAAATATTGAGTTTGATTTAAACAAAATTTAGTCATATCTTTAGTGTGTTGGACATGAGTATAGTTAGAATAGTGTGATATATTGTAGTTATATAGTTAGACAAGTGTTATAGATTGTTGTTATATAGTGTGATATATTCTAGTTATATAGTTAGAGTAGTGTGCTTTATCTTTGCTTTCTTTTTTCTCTCTAACTCTATAGTATTGTGAAGATGAGTTCTGTCAATATCCTAGTACTGTTTCTAACTTCCAACTACAGAGATCTGCTACAGAAGATGAGTTCAACAAGAGAATTAACATGGCTTTACATGAAGGAACGTCCAACCTAACACAAACTCTCGTAGGAAATAACATTAAAACAGCTTATACACATGCTGGTGAGTATTTTCAAGAACTGGATTTTATTATAAGGATGATTTAGTCATGTTAAAATTAAATTGTATTTACTTCAATTTAAGTCAATCCACTATTTGACATAAGTTTTAGTTGACATGATTTGATTAGATGGCTTGTTGTGGTGGTTCTGGTGAACTTTAGCAAACTGGAATTCAGTTAACATAACACAAATAAATTAGGGTAGTGCTGAAAATATATATGGCTGTATCTGGGGAGCCTGTAATTCTTATAGTTCAGTTAACCGATTAGGTTAGGGTAGCGCTGAAAATGTATATTCCTGTATCTTGGGATCCTGTAATTCTTATAGTTCAGTTAACAGATCAAGATAGGGTAGTGGGCCTGTATTTCACATAGATCGTCAACAGAAGTTAACAGAATAGGTCAGGGCAGCGCTGAAAATGTTAACAGAATAGGTCAGGGCAGTGCTGAAAATGTTAACAGAATAGGTTAGGGCAGTACTGAAAATGTTAACAGAATAGGTTAGAGCAGCGCTGAAAATGTTAACAGAATAGGTTAGGGCAGAGCTGAAAATGTTAACAGAATAGGTTAGGGCAGCGCTGAAAATGTTAACAGAATAGGTTAGGGCAGCGCTGAAAATGTTAACAGAATAGGTTTGGGCAGCGCTGAAAATGTTGATGCACCTGGGATGCCTGTATTTCATATAGTAATTCAGTGAGCCTTTGTTTATTGTTGGTTGGACCTACTCTTGTTTATCATTGGGTGGACCTTCTCTTGTTTATCATTGGGTGGACCTTGTCTTGTTTATCATTGGGTGGACCTTGTCTTGTTTATCATTGGGTGGACCTTGTCCTTTTTATCATTGGGTGGACCATGTCTTTTTTATAATTGGGTGGACCATTGGCCGGACCTTCTCTTGTTTATCATTGGATGGACCTTCTCTTGTTTATCATTGGGTGGACCTTCAATTGTTTCCTACTGGGTGAACCTTCTCTTGTTAATCATTGGGTGGACCTTCTTTTGTTTATCATTGGGTTTACCACATCTTCAAATGTATTGATTCATTAAAAATACTACAGGGATATGTTCTGTAAATTATTTGGCTGAAAAGTTTCGCGATTAATTTTTTTTTTAAAAAGTCCATGTTTTTTGTTTTTTTGGGGAACAAAAATATTTATGTTGAATTGTAATACATTTGTTATAATTATGATTATTTTGTATTTGTTATAAGCAGATAGACGTTTGAGTATAGATCGATCCCCCACAACGATACACCAATCACCGAGTTTCAGTTTACCAATTACATTCCCACTCGTATCCAATAGTTACCATAATCATTATATATATCCAGATGTAAGGTGGGTTATATATTGAGTTTAGTCAGTCTGATTAAAATACAGATCTATATTCCGTTTCGTTCTTCTTTTATACTTTCGATGGTCTCTACTGCATGAAAATCTGACCAGTTGTAGTGGGAGGTCGCGTCAGGAGTCATACGAGCGTCTTTTGACCCTATGACGTCAGACATTTGATTAACCAATCACTGTTGATGTTTGTAGTAGGATACCCACAGCTCCGTCCATCGCACATCTATAACTCGCTGCAACAGACCGTTTCATTGGCTAATCCCTCACATCAGCCAAAACGCGGGATATTTAACAACTCTTCCAGATCCTAGTGTAGTAATGACAAGATAAGTAACACAAAATTTTGAACTATAAAAAACAAAACGAAATAGGATTTGTGTTTTAATCAAATTTATATTTCCATTGTTATTTTTATTTTACTTAAACATTTAATACCACGTAAAAGTAGTTATGATAAATGTTGAAGCAGACAATATAGTAGACTAGTTCACAAAATAAGGGGGGTTGAATAGCCGAATGGTTAGCATGTGTGCACTGTATCATAAAGTCTGTCATTGAGTCAACTGGCATGGTTTCCCCGGTTTTGCGTGACATGGAGTAGGGCCACCTGTCCAACCTCATGGGTTTTCTCAGGGTCCTCTGGTTTCCTCCCACTGCTAAAGACTCCTATGCACAAGGGAATTATTGAAATGAAATGAAATGAAATGGAGTTTAACGTCCTACTGTTATGCTCCTAACCTGGGCTAATGAAGATGGGCATACGCCATACAGTGTGCTATGAGGGAAATTTTGCCCGGACAGCGGCACTACGGCCTACTCTTATATCGAATTCCAACTGCCAAGGGATCTTTTATGTGTACGCCAATGTGTACACGGGACCTCGGTTTTTCGTTCCATCCGAATGACTAGACAGCTTTCCTTGTCAGCCCCTCCGTCCTGCATCACTGACAAGGGAGAACCACGCCAGAAAATCTGGATGAACTTTCTCGGCCAATGCAGGGATCGAACACCCGACCTCCAGGCTAGCGAGCTAGCGTCTTACCCACTTAGCCACGTGATCCCCAGGGAATTATTGAAATAAAATTGAACCATGTGTTAGTCCCGAAATGACCAGTTTGTGTCAAGTAGACATTAAACCCCATTCTCTCTCTTTCTCTCTCTCTCTCTCTCTCTCTCTCTCTCTAGTTCACTAAATAACAGTCACCATTAATATTGTAGTTTTTCTGAAGAAAGTGAGAATGAGTTAGAAAGTAAACAAATACCATTAGCTGTTCGTAAATCACCTTATCAATATGACACATCATCGTCAGCTGCTCAATCTATTACACATAAAAGACATATACGGTTAGTATTTATGTTTGTAAAATATATTTATGTTTGTAAAGTATATTTATTTTTGTTAATCAACTACTCAGTATCTGTAAAATAACAGTGTTCACACCTACCATATTGTGGGTGGGGGGGGGGATAGCCAAATGATTAGCACGTGTACGCTGTATCAAAAGGTCTGTAATTGAGTCAACTGGCGTGGTTTCGATTCCCCGGTTGTACGTGACGATGGGTTTTCTCCGGGTTTCCTCCCACTGCTAAAGAAGCCTACGCGCAATCAAATTCTTGAAATAAAATTGAACCATATGTTAGTCCCGAAATGTGTCGAGTGAACGTTAAACCCCATGTCTCTCTCTCTCCCTCTCTCCCTACCATATTTTAAAAATAAATTAATCTGGAAAATGTGTTTTTGAATTTTAATAAATTATATTAAATGTCAGTCTATGATCCTGTGAAAATTATTGGTGTAGTTTTTAAACCAAATGGCAATATAAAAGAATAAGCTGCATTTATACTTAAGTGCATTATTATTTTTTGCATTTTATTATTATTTTAGAACCGGTCTCGTATTGAGATCTGACATAGGGTTAGCGTAACAGATAATTCCCCAAATTTTACGTTTGTTAATACT